CCCCCCCTTGCTAGTGGGACCAGCCTTACCTGGTGGTGCTGGCAGGGCTCCCTTTCAATGCAGGCAGGACTGAGCTTACCTGAGCCACCTCTTCTTGCTAGGTTGGTGCTGGGTAACAACATACCTAGGTCACTTTCTTCTGTTGTCTGTGGGACTTAAATGCCCTGCCACTCTGTTGATCCCTGATCCTGTGGTCCAAAACCTTTTCACCTTCTCTTTCCAATTTTCAGAGTTCCCTTTTCCTTTTATCTGTCATTTGTTCCAGAGTTTATAGTTATTTTTAACAGATAATAGCAGAGTGAAACAAGTCTCTGCCACTTTTTCTGGACCATTGGTATTTCACAAACACAGAAACAAAAGTGGGGGCTTATCTAGTTAAAAAACAGTGTTATGTCAGGAAAACTAAATTTTGTCTTCTCTGTCATTGATTTCCTCAATGGCAACCCATTAATTTCTCTCTAAACCCCAATCTCTGAGTAACACATAGAAAAATGCATGCATTTAGTCACAGTATCTGGAAGATGAATGCACAATATCTGGAAACTTATTTAAATCCAGGCTTTTTTTTTTTTTTTTAACCAACATGGGTAACTGTTAAATTATATGAATCACAATTTTCCTTATTAATATGAGAAGAATAATGAAATACTAAGTTTATAGTAAGGTATAAATACAAGTTCATTTTAAATCAAAATTACAAATATTTTTGAAAGTTTTGGCAATATTAAAAGTGGTTTTCAACTTTATTGTATTGTTGAGTATATTCATTTTGTTTTTTAAATTAAAGGTCATATGAAACACTACACTACTTACATATTTTTAAATTATTAAAAATATTCATAATGATTATTTAAATGAAATTTCTTTATATTCTGGTAGAAACTTCTGATGTCCCTATCATTTGTATCATGGGTTGGCATCTCTTGTAACAACAGTGATTGTCCATGGGCGTCAATAAACAGATCAACTTTCAAACCAAAGTAAGTTTTTTTGAATGATGCTATATAAAAGAATAAATATAGATAGGATAAATTCAAAATAATGTTAATAAACTTAACTTGAACGATAGACATGAAGATGATGAAAGTCAGTAAAATGATGATCTAAACATTAAATAATGGTCTACTCAGTTTTCATAGAACTCATCAATATTATATGAAAAATGTTACTATTTTCACAATACTCTTTTTTTACACTACATAGAAAATGCTATTGTTTCATGTACCATCCCAATAAAATATAACAGAATTATGCATTTTTCTTCATTACAGGATAAAAGAATCCGCAAATCATAATCATAACTGTGCTGTGCTACACTCAGGTGGTCTTAAACCAGACAGTTGTGGATCTCTAAATACGTATAGTTGTAAGCTTAAGCTTTAAAATTAAAACACCTGAGTTTTGAGTCTGTCAGGTAATTTTATAACTCATGAAATGTAAGTAATATTATAATTGCATAAGTCTTTAAATGAATTCTGGTTTTTGTTCTAATATTTTTAAGAAATTTATTTGATTTTGGACATATAATACACACACCATGAAGTACAAATACAATTACTTTTTTGTCTGGCTCTTTTTGTTCAGCATTATGTATGTGGCATCCATCTTTCTAAAAGTTCACATTTTGTGTGGGTCTGTTTATATGAAATACGAAGAACAGGTAAACCCTATAGAGACAGAACGTGGATCGGTGTTTACCAAGCGCTGAGGGGAGGTTGGAATAGGAAGTGCCAGCTAATTGCCACAGTGTTTCTTTTTGGGCTGATGAAAACTTACTAAATTTTGATTGTAGTGATGGTTGTAATTGTGTGAATATAATAAATATCACTGACTTTTACACCTTAAATGGATGAATTTTATGCCATGTGTCTACACCTCAATAAAGGTGTTAAGAAAAAGTCTCCTGGAATTACATTTGGGACTATATTTAATCTTTAAAGTAATTTTTAAAGGTTAGTCCTCTTTAAAATATTGATTTTTCCAATCAATATTATTCTATGTCCTTCACTGAATTAAGCTTTCTTTAATTTCTCTGTATCATGTTTGTATTTTTTGGTGCTGATGTCTTGCAGAATATTAGCATACTGAAGAGATATCTGCACCCGCATGTTTATTTCAGTACTGTGGTGTGCACAATAGCCAAGATATGGAATCAACATAGGTGTCCACTGACAGATGAATGGAGAAAGACAATGTGGTATACATACACAGTGGAATGCAACTCAACCAGGAAAAAGAATGAAACCCTGTCATTTGCAGCAACGTTGATGAGCCTGGATATATTATGTTAAGGGAAATAAGTCGGGTTCAGAAAGGTAAATACCGCATGTTCACACTCATGTGAGAGCTAATATAATCGTAATAAGAAGAAGGAAAAGTTGAACTTTTAGAAGTACCGAGTAGAATTACGGTTACTAGAGTCTAAGAAGGGGAAGGGGAGGGGGATTGTGATATTTTCACTGGTGTGGGTTTTATTTCCAATGATGAATAAAAGGTACAATAAAAGTTCTACATGTGTCATACATATCATTTCCTAATTTAGGGGGAAAGACTTCAACATTTTATCCAGACTTAGAAAGCTTTTTTTTAATAAAATCATACCTCTGTCATATTGAAGCACATGAACAATATTCCTGTTTTTCTAATAGATTTCATCAATATTGCATTTTTATTATGTTTCCATCAATTGGAATGATGTATTTTCTCTGTGTAATGTTTGTGAAGAATACAAACTTTTTCTTTCAAATGTCAAACCACTCTCGCACTTATAAAAGAAAATGAAACCTGTCATTCTGTTCTGCCCCTCTAGGAAAGTCAGTGCATATAATATACAAAGAGTAAGACTCTTTTCTTCCTTCCTGTTCACAAGGAAATTTGTTTTCATTTATAGCTATGTTTAACTGACAGGTTTTGCTATCAAGGCTGCATTGGGAGGCATCCCAATATATGTATTATACATATATATATGTATAAAACCTAGATGTATATGAAGAGTACTGTTTTATTTTTAAAGGTTACTATTCACTAGTGATTACATACAGTTTGTACAATGTTTTTGTTGGAAGATTTATATAACAAACTAAATTTCTTTAATACATGTAGGATGTACTCTGATTTCCTTTTGTTGTACTGCATTTTGGTAATTTGTGTTTTTAGGAATTTTCTATTTCTTATGGTATTAAAATGTGTTTATAATATGATTTTATAAATGTAAAAACCATAATGGTGTTCCCTTGTTTAATCCACAAATAAAATATTTATGCCTTCTCAAATTCTTTCTTCAATAGTCTTTTATCATTTTAAATAAGCCTTTTTAATGAAAATACTTTTGGCCTTGTTGATCCTCTCTACTGTAATTTTTTTCTTTGTCATAATTTTGTACTATTTATTGTTTTCTTCCTTCTAGTTTGCTTGTGTTTAATTTCAGGTAATTTCAGCCTTTCTGTTTCTATATTTTGTTTCTTAAAATTTATTTTTTAATTGACATGCATTAATTGTGTATATTTATGGGGTACAGGTTTATATTTCATTACCTGTATACAATGTGTGAAAATCAAATCAGGCTAATTAGCACATCCATTATTGCAAAAATTTATTTCTTTGTGATGAGAGCATTTGAGTTCCTCTCTTCTAGCCATTTTCTACATGCAATAGGTTACTGTTAACTCTGCACACCTAGCACTACTGTAGACTATTAAACTTATTCTTCCTATCTTACTGTAATTTTGTATTTGTTAACTAACCTCTGCCTATTCTCTTCTCCTTTTCCCCTTCCAATCCTCTGGTTACCACAATACTCCTCTCTACTTGTATAAACTTACTTTTTGTAGCTCCTGCTTATGAGCAAGAAAATGTAGAATTTATCTTTCTTTGCCTGACTCATTCCACTTAACATAATGTCTTCCGGGCTCATCTGTGTTGCTGCAAATAACAAGATTTCATTATTTTTAATAGCTGAGTAGCATTCCATTGTGTATATATACTGCATTTTATTCATTCATTCAATGGACTCCTAGGTCGATTCCATCTCTTGGCTATTGTGAATAGTGTTACAATAAACATGGGATGCAGAGATCTCTTCTGTGTGCTAATTTCCTTTCCTTTGTGTTAATATCCAGCAGTAGGGTTGCTGGATCATATGGTGGTTTAATTTTTAGTTTCTTGAGGAATCTTCATACTGTTTTATGTAATGGCTGTACTAATGGACATTCCCACTAACAGTACACAAGTGTTTTCTTTTCTCTGCATCCTCACCAACATTTATTTTATTTTTTTCTTTTTGAAACAGCCATTCTAACTGGAGTAAGATGATAACTCACTCTGGTTTTGATTTATATTTCCCTGATGATTAGAGATGTTGAGCATTTTTTTCATATACCTCTTGGCCATCTTTATATCTTCTTTTGAGAAATGTCTATTCAGGTCATTTGCCCATTTTTTAATTGGATTATTTTATTTATTTATCTTTGTATAGTGGTGAGTTGTTTACTTCTAGTTTGCTTGTGTTTAACTTCAGTTAATTTCAGCTTTTCCATATAATCCCAGATGAATAGTTTCCAAATATTTTTTTCCCACTGTTCCATTTGCCTCTCCTCTGTTGACTGCTATGCAGAAGCAGTTTAGTCTGATGTAATCCCATTGGCCTATTTTTACTTTTGTTACCTGCACTTTAAAGACCTCCATAAAATTTTTTCCCAGACCCAAGTCTTGGAGTGTTGATGAGACGTCTCACATTTGTTGATTTGCGTATGTTGAACCATTCTTACATTCCTGGGATAAATCCCACTTGATTATGATGTATAATCTTCTTAATGTGCTGTTGAATTTGGTTTGCTACTGTGTGTGTGTGTGTTTGTGTGTAAAGGGAAGATCATTTTTGTTGTTTATTTATTTTTAATTAAAATTTTTTTTTTCATTACACAGTGTAAATATTTTTTGTGGCCTTTTACCAATTTCTCTCTCAATCCCCTGTCACTCCCCCTTTCCCACCTCTGGTGTCTGTCCTGTTTCTCCTTTTAAGCGTTCAAGGAATTATTGTGATTGTTGCATATTTCCTTTTTTGTTGTAGTTTATTTATTTCTCAGTTCCCATTTATGATTGAGGAAATGCGTTATTTCTTTTTCTCTTCCTGGCTTATTTCACTTTGTTGAGAATATTTCATCTATGCTCATCAGAAATATTGACCTCCAGTTTTCTTTTTTTTTTTTTTTTTTTTTTGTTGTGTCCTTGTCTGATTTTTGTATCAGGGTAAGGCTGGCCTCTTAGAATGAATTTGGAAGAACTCCCTCTTAGATTTTTTTAATAGTTTGAGAAGAATTGGTATTAATTCTTCATGAAAAGTTTGATAGACTTCAGTTGGCAGTGAGGCCGTTGGTTCCTGGGCTTTTCTTTGTGGGAGACTGCTGACTACTGATTCAAACTCATTAATCATTATTGGTTTGTTCAGGTTGTCTGTATCTTGTTGGTTCAGTCTTGGGAAGGTTATACATGTCCAGAAATTTATCCATTATCTCTAGGTTTCCCAGTTTGTTGGTATATTGCTTTTGATGCATGCTCAAAATATTTAATTTTTGCTTTTTTTTTGTTGTTGTTGTTATGTATATATTAAGCAATCAATTTTTCACAAGGCAGACTTTGCCTTATTTTCCTTGTAATTCATATAAAAATTGTAAACATTAATTGTTATAATTTATTTGGCTCATGAGTTATTTAGAAATATATTACTGAGTTACTAATCTCATAAGGTTTTCAAATTTTTGGTTATTGACCTCTATTTTTAGGTAGACTGGAGCTAGGGAATTTTCTGTGAATCTGGAAATGTTCTACATTTATGTATTAATGTGGCTATTATGCTGAGAAACTAATTTTAAATGTTATTTACTTTTAACTATTCAATATTAAATTTGAATAGCTACATTACAAGTGTCCGCTGGCTGAACTTGGCCAGTGTCTACTACGTTCATATCACAGTTCTAAATATTTTAACATGCTTGTAAATATGAGAATATAGTGTACTTTTGGAAATTTTTTAAGTGAGTGTAAAAATAAAAGTAAGTATTCTGTATTAGTACAAAGTATGTGTGTGCACATGTGTGTATGTTGGTTAATTTTCTAGTTTAATCTTTCTGGAGGCTCACTGATACATCTGCTTTTGTGATAATAAGTGAGATAGAAGTGTTTAAATCCCCATTTATTATTGTCTATTTGTTCACTTTAAATTCTATGTTGAACTTGTATTATTAGGTACATACAAATTACTAACACTATTGCTAATGGTTTGGATAATAAATCTGTCATTGTGAAACATGCTTCTTTATTTCCAATTGTGATTCTTGCCTTATATTCTAACACTACATTAATTATAGCAGTTTTCTACCAGTTTG